AATGTCGTACGTGAGAAGGCGCCGAGATGTGTATAAGACTCTTGGACGCGGTACGAAGGCTGAGTCTGCAGCTATTCTTGCATTTGGAAGCCTATTCACGGCTCCATACAAAGGCTCAGAACTGTATATCGATATACATAAATCTTCTTCGAGTGTTCCGGAGGTGAAATCTTTGGTTGAGAAGGTTGATTTCCTTCCTTTTGTTCGAGAGATAATGAGGGCGGGCAAGAAATTTGCCTCGGAAACCATAAAGGCGCCGTTTCTTTGTGCGCAGCTGAGACTGTTAGATGGCCAGTTCAAGAATCACAGGGAGAGTACGTTTATAGGTTTAAACCAGAAGTTGGAATCTTTAAGCTTAAAGAATCCAGGTCCAGTTCATGTGTTTGTAATGACGGACCTCCCTGAAAGCAACTGGACCGGAACTTACTTGGGTGATTTGTCTAAGAACTCTACAAATTTCAAGCTCCATTTCCTGAGGGAACAAGATGAAGTAGTGGTGCGGACACAAGAGGAGGTTGGTTCTGCTGGTCACGGCAAGAAGTTTGGGTCTATTCCGATGAGCCTAGAGAGTATAAAAAAGATGGAGAAGCATTGTTCTCCTAAAAAAGTATCGAATGTGCAGCTTTACGTAGAGGAAGCTGTTTGCAGCTGTGCGTCATTGGGTTTCGTTGGTACGGCAGGGTCTACAATAGGAGATAGTGTAGAGATGATGAGGAAGTTCAATGCTTGTAATAGTTGAACTCAGACCGCATTCGTGTTTTCCGAGGTTGGAGTGATAGATGGAAGCATTTCGTTTATGGGGGATGAAAAGAGGCTTTGGGTGTTCGTTTTGGGAAACTGTCTATGAGTAGAATAAAGCCATTTGGTTCCTTACATAATCGGCTAAACCAGCGTGAGATGTGTGTTGTAATGGTCGAGGCTTTTGTCTTGCGGGAATTCTTCTTGTAGTTTCGACAAGATTTTGTACCAATGTGTTTTAAACCGGTTTTGATTTGTACCAAAATCGTGGAAGTGGTTTGGTTGGTTGAGAAGGATTTAAACCGGATTTATAAAAAATTACGTGGAATTGTAATTTATGACCAATGAAATCTCTCCACGTTAGCAGAATCCACGCGCAGCTTGAGACCGAATTTAATGAGTCGGTAACATGATCCACCGCGAACATTTCGACCGGATTTTGGATATTTGGCGATCGCCGATCTGAGAGGAGAATTCGAAGGTTTCTTGATTCTTCGTCCATGGCTGCTCCGTTTTTCTCTACTCCATTTCAGCCTTATGTGTATCAGGTTCGATCCCTGTTTCATTTTCTGTCACTGTCGACAATGCTTGATTTGGTGGTGTTGGGAATATGCTGTTGACTTTGTTTCGTTTCTTGCTCTCGATTTGTTTGATCTTTTTCAATTTGTCTCTCCTGAGTGTATGTATAATCCTTCCTACCTACTCACAACAAGTGGTCGGTCATGTGATGCAGAGTCAAGAAGATACGATTACACCTTTCCAAATTTTGGGTGGTGAAGCTCAGGTTCTTCAGGTACGTTCCACATTGTTTTGTGCTGCTTGTGTGAGCCATGTATTCTCAACTAACCATTTCATTGTTTTCTTTTCAGATTATGTTAAAACCACAGGAGAAGGTCATTGCTAAGCCTGGTAGTAATCACTAAAATGCTCTTTTTCTCCTTGTTGCCAACATCTGTTTATCTGATTTAGTTAAGTGCTCTAGCTTCCATGTGCTACATGTCTGGCTCCATTGAGATGGAGAATACTTATACCCCTGAACAAGAAGTTGGACTTGTACAGTGGCTTTTAGGCAAGAGTGTTAGCAGTATACTTCTTCGCAACACCGGACAAAGCGATGGATTTGTTGGTATTGCCGCACCCTCTTTGGCAAGGATTCTCCCAGTTAGTGATTCTAACTTGCCATGATTTTCTTCTGTATGCTTAAATATCATGCATCCTTATGTCTTTTGGTCATTTTCTTTCCGTGAAGGTTGATTTGGCAATGTTTGGTGGGGACATCTTGTGCCAGGTAGAGCTCATTAGCTAAAACCATAAAAATCAAAAAAATTTCTCTTCTAAAATACTCTCCAATCTGTGTATGTAGCTCTCAGCATTTTTCCTCCTCATTCAGTGATGTGACATTTTCTTCTTGTTCTGTAGCCAGATGCATTTCTCTGTTCTGTCCATGATGTCAAGGTCATAAACTCTGTTTACCAGAGACATAGAGCAAGAAATATTGCTGCTGCTGGCGCCGAGGTAAGTACAACAGTACTTTTCTTTCAAAATTTAGAGTTATAGCTTTCCTAGTTACTTCCTGTAGATTTATGTATGGCTTTAACTCACAGAATCGTTGTTGCAGGGATTTCTGAGACAAAGGCTATCTGGCCAGGGTCTTGCTTTTATTATCGCCGGTGGCTCTGGTATGCAACTAAGGTTTTTCTCTTTCAGTTCAAGGCTTTTTACTCTCCAAAAAATCTGACCGTAATCCATTTGCTTCATTAGTTGTACAGAAAAACCTGGAGGTGGGAGAAGTTCTCACCATTGACGTTTCTTGCATTGCGGCTCTCACTCCCTCAATCAATTTCCAAATCAAATACAATGCTGCACCTGTGAGACGGGCAGTCTTCGGGGTACGTTACATTTCTTCCTCTTCCATTCCCAACAAATTGTTTCAACATCTTTCCCTCTGTCAAGCTTACCAATCAAAATCCATCTAACATCTATACATTTTATCCAAAAAAGGGTGAAAACGTAGTAACAGCGACTCTGACGGGACCAGGCATCGTGTTCATCCAAAGTTTACCGTTTCATCGGCTCTCCCAGCGAATTGCAAGGTTGAGGATCGATCTCTCCCCTTGGGTTTATTGTATAGGAAGAACAATTCAACAAATTAGACTCACGAAGTGTTTGTTTATTACAGGTCGGTGACGTCCCCAAACATGAGAGAAAATCCAAGATTATTGGTTCAGATAGGATTATTCATATTCCTTGCATACGTTGTGATTGTATCTTCTTTGATCCTTACCGAAATGTGAAACATAATGAGACTTTATTTTGTTTGTTTTAACCTCTCTAAGGTGGATCAAGCCTTGATAGTTGTAGTGTAGGCTCATTTACGTTAAGATCTATGTATTGTCTTCATAGACAAAAGCTCATCTCACAATATTTGATTGAATTAGTGTTGTTGCACAAGATCGGACATGTAAGCTAATACATTTTTTATGCTTGTTAATGGATGTTTGAGGCAAACAAAAGCTTTGTGAAACAAGAGATTAGAGGCTTAAAATGCGTCCAAGGAATATTCCACAAGTTACAAGTCTTGCTATTAAGTAACCACGTATGTTCCTCATCCATCGAATAGTTAGTTGTTAGCCTTAGCTTACTGTGATTGCTTGATAACATTTTGATGAATCCATACAACTCAAACTGAATCTGTCATACAGAAGAGCGTTCATAGCAAATTCTTTACCCCGAGTCCTCCTTTCTATTCTATTCATCGTGTTCTAGACTCACTGTTTGGATTTCGTGTACGGTAGTCGATTGTCTTGTTAGCTCGTAATGTATTGGAGTGAGTAAATGAATATATATTTTGATTAGATAAAAAGTCTAACGAGAGAGCAACATTAGTCGTTCCAAACAAACAAAAAACCCAAGATGGTGAGAAATAAAACCACCATTTATATATATACTAGGCCGATACCCGCGCATACGCACAGATTTTTTTATCGATTAAAATTCTAAAAATTGTAATGTGTTTATTTGTGATGGAAGATCCGGGAGAAAAATCTATGGTTGAAGTTTTTTGTGTAATATTCACCAAAAGATACATAAAATCATGTGACGAAGAGGCTAAGCAAGAATTATACATGCATATGAACATCTACGTGACCATAAGCATATTTATAAACTTGTCTTGGAAGGTTCGAATTGATTCTATTGGAATGAGAACAAGCAACCCAACTTCAAAGACTATTTACAAGCAAAGACCATATAAACTGTGATTGTGTTCATAGGATCTCGTTCAAATGTGCATAAAAAATTTGTACACATAACATGGTTAAGAGGAAGTAAAATAAGATATAATCCTGTTGCGGGTTGATCAAGTGAGTTTGTATATATATAAGCATAAAAATAAATTATGTTTATTGTTTCTAAGATATATCAACTGTAAGGAGATTTGTGTGTCCATCAAAATTGAAACAATGACATCTTTATTTTGGACCGAAAAAACTTTTGAATTGAAATCAATGTAGATCAAAAGTACTCATATCCCCTGTGTCATTTCACAAACATTTACTATACAAACCCATGACACGATAAGATTCTTTCAACCAGGAGGTTTAATAATGGTTTACATCACAGAACCAAGAAATCGAGTTATAATAGAAGAGAGATTTCTAGATAATACCAGTTCGAGATGAAGTTGATTTTTCCCAACGAAATTTACATAATGTAGCATCATAGCTTAAGATCACCAAATCATTGGCGACACTTCTCAAGCATGATTTGTCTTTACCAATGCATTCTTACTTGTCACAACGGCCAATAAATTCATGTAAAAAAGACTCGTACAAAGGACCATACACTAAAAATTAAATTTGCATATATCAGGTATTTGATTACCTTTAATCGAACAAACCCAGAGTCGAGAAAACTTGATTAATGATATGTTGCGGATTTCTCCGGCTTCACATGTCAAAATTTCAGCCAAATTTTTATATTGACATTTTATCATCATTAATTTCAATGGAAGTTGTATAGACAACAAGAGAAACCATAAATGATCATAAATGCTATTCAAAGGTTACGTTTGAAAAATGCAAAAGACAACTATTCAAGTGTAAATGCTCTTGCGCCACATATCGCAGAGATGGAGAGGGATCATTCTCCTTTCATATATATGATTAAATAAACATCCGATTACAAAGGTCTTTTTCTTAAATTTTCCACCTTTTACCAAAAGGCTATGGCCTCGTCGGCGTTTCAGTCATTTTACGCATACATCTCTGAATCTTTTTTCTTTCTTCATTCTTCCAGTTGCAACAATAATCAAGACGACCGCCATCTTTCTCCTTTTGATCGGTGCTTCGAATGGCGGTCATCGGAAGGAGACCGGTCGTAGTACCTTGATGGCTTCCTCTTGAAATGTCTGTCTTCATCATCACTTGATTCGTATTCTCTTTCCCTCCGAACCGATGGAGCCGCGGGGACCGAGGCTACTTCTGGTGCTGGAGAAGACTTTGATGGTTTTCGTTGTTTGCCAGAAAGTTCCTCCTCTGGAAAGCTTATCCGAGCGAACACACTGGACTTGTGATTATCATCTGATTCGGTAGCTGTGACTGGCTCTGATTCCGATGATGGCTTTTTTGAACTCTTACGGTGCTTGCGATCAACCTCACGGTGGCGTTCCCGACTTCTATCATCATCCCGGCGGCTGCGACGGTGAGCGTGTTCGGAATGGAGGTCGTGATGACGATCACGCTCAAATTTTTTGCTGGATACTCGAGGAGGAGAGTCAACCCTCCGATGCTCCGGGCCCTGTCTCTGTTCATTGAAGAACAAGGCAATGCACATCATTCATTGATTTGCTTTTGCACTACAAATGAATAAATAATATAGCAAATTTGAGTTTTGGGCCCAATAAGAGATACATAAGGCCCAATCCATTTTCTAATCTACCCTCCGAACAAGGAAAACAGAAAGCAAACAGAGTTTAGTTTCCCGTAAATGTCTTAATCACTATGTTCCAGTAAAGCCTTTACTTCGGTCAACCTGAAGAGTTACAAACGTGTTCTTATCTTTAAAAATACCAAGTTTTTAATAGTTGTCGTAGTTTACTATGACTGTTTACTCAACTACTTCACATTAACTTTAAAAATGAA